TTGGCCACCTTGAGTGCTCCACCTATGGGACTGAGTTGGTCACAGCAAGGATTGGGGATTGAGGCTGCCCTTGCCATGCAGGTAACAAGGCCAGAATGTGGGAGTTGAAGTGAAGAAACCCGAACCTCACATCTTGGTTGAACAACATGTCAGTTGTCAAAAACCTACAGTTGCCGTCTCTACTCCCTCAAGAAGAAGCAACAGGCCTGCGCCTACCACAACTGCAGAGGAAGCTGTTGCCTAGGTGTTGCACAGGGTTGGAAAGATCGCATACAGGATGGAACTTCGCGATATGGGGACCAAGCCTCTTGAGACCCCATCTTGAACAGATGTACCGGCTCTGCAAGCAGGTACTGTATGGGCGATTTGATGATTGAGTTCCACCTTACACTGTGTATGTTTGACATCTATGTGCCTGTGCCACCAACCCAAGGGAGTGACAGGATTTGGTTTGGACAGACCGCAGCACTAGATGGAATCCTACAAAAACTGTAGGTTGTTTCCAAGTAGGTCTCTGACATGTCTTGTAGCCAACTGTGGCTGGACTTTCTCAGATTATCTACGTCACATGAGGCTGGAACCCAATGTATGGCAGCAGCACTAGACATAGCGCCAATAATTTGGCTTTACACAGACCAAATGTCGTCATGTCCCTGTGAAGCCTATCCGCTGCGACACTAAGGTAACTTTGTGCTGACTCCTAAATGTATTGGAGCCCATTATGCAGAAGATGGCCTAGCAAGGTCCTTAGTGAATATTGGTTGTCTGTATGACCGTAGGAAATTCGGAGGCCGAAAGGTAGCCGAAATGCATTTTCGGCCACCTACGGTAGCTGCCCCGTCGAGTGGCACGAAACCTGGCACAGATTACTTTATGAGCCCTGAGAGCTCAAATTACTAGTTTAACATAATATAAATTGTTCCTGTTGACACAGGAGTGAGTATTGCATCTGTATCACTTATTCACCTGTTGTGTGAACTGAACTTACCCTTCAAGACCGTCCTGAGTAGATCTCAGGCAGACTGACTAAGAGCCTTTCCATTACTGAGGGAAGGATGAACAAGAGAACTTTGCCAACGCTATGACATTTCAGCAAACTCAAATCAAGACCCTAGATCAGCCTGGGATACGCGCATCAACTGATCTGGCCACACCAAACTTGAGGATCTAGGTTCAAGTGTCAAGACTGTGAAGTCTATGAATTCGGGTGAGACGGCTGTGGATGGAGGGTTTCGCCAAATCTTTGGTCATATGCTGCTCCATTCAGACGCTTTCGCCACGCAGCCTCGTTGGAAAGGAGCCCTCCACAAGCTATGCGAGGCGGGCAAGGAACCTCAAAGAGTTTTCCAACAACTACAAGACGACTACATCAAACTTCAGGAACGTGTTCTTTGACCTGAACGACCATCGACGATATGCAAAGGCCGACCCAGAACCTCCAAAACCTCGTACACCACACGCGAACACTTGGAACCTCCGGACCCTCAAGGCCAGCCACAACAAGAATGGAGTCCTGGAAGCTGAGGTCGAGGAACTCAAGGACATAGTGTTTACCTTACACTCAACGTAAGGCTGCTTCCATTCAGGACTCTTTGCACGCAGCTCGTTGAAATGGATGCCCTCAGCAAAGCATGCGAGCTGGCAGAGGAACCTAAAAGAGTTTTCCAAACAACTACAAGACGACTACTATCAACTTGCAGGAACGTGTTCTTGACCTTGAACACCATGTGGACGATATGGCGAAGGCCGACCCAGAGACTCCAACCTCTGGTATCACGTTCGAACACTTCGGAACCCCTGGACCCTCAAGGTCCAGCCACAACAAGAACGGAGTCCTTGGAAGCTGAGGTCGAGGAACTCAAGGACATAGTGTCTACCTTAAACTCGAATGTAAGTTCGCTCCTCAGGCACGCCCCCATCAAGGATCTTGAAGGGAAGGTCATTACTGTTCGAGCCGATTGCGACGATCCTAAACGTCGGATCAGGGGGTTCAACACTTATCAGTTTGGAGAAAGAACTATCGGATCCTGGCATGATGTCTGAACGTCCTGGGAGGGTCGTTGGAGCTCGTGTCCGTGGGGTTATTCGCGGACATCTTCACTGCACTCTGTTTGTGTTCTCAGGACTTCTCGTCAGGAAAGGACTATGCAGACAAGTCAAGATTGTCTCAAGGCATCAAAGCCACCAGATTAGAAGTGACGTCATGTCTACCATGTCCCACTGGTCTCCCCTCATTCTGTTTGGTAAGACCGAGGCATCCAAGTCCCTGGTCGAGCCCGAAGATGGGTTTGGATACAAGTTGAAGACTTTCAGCATGTTCTCAGGAAGGAAAGCCAATCCTGCGAGACAAGAGATCCTCAAGCGGGCTCGCGACTTGGTAAAGAAAGTCAAAAAGTCCATCACTGGGTCTGGCTTGGCTACGGAACTGGCTCGCCAGGTTCTTAACGACTCTGTGGACCATCTCTGAGACTGGTTCATGTTCCTCACGGAATGGCGCGAGGAATTGGTCAAACAGTGCAACTAAGAACCCGCCAGAGCTTGAGACTTCCTTGGCTTCCACTCTCGATCACTTTTCGATTACTTGTCTGGACCTCGAATTGAGGTTGCTGAGATTAGTGATTTCCACTCTCTGGAGGGAAAAGCGAAAGTGATTTGGGCCGTTCTCCAAGTCAACATTCGTATGAGGAATTTCGTGTGGCCAAGTACAAGTCCCATCACGTCACCACGATAGCCATGTCCAACTTCATCATGAAGAACCGCGTTGACGTGGCACGTGTGGACAAACAAGACCTCAGATTGAATGAGGTTTCCAAGGCATTCAGCAGCAGTGAAACCACGTGGCTGACATGACTACGGAACTCAAGGCCTTCAAACAGACCACATGAAATTGTCTTGTTGCCATTGAAAGGAAGGTGGACAAGATCAAGTAGGAAGCTGGCGAGGCTATAGCACCGGTGGCGTTGCAAGAGCCTGCAGCCTCCTCCCGTTCGGTCAGGCACACTTTTCGTCCTGATCCGGAGCCACCTCCTTCCACCTGTCCCCCACCATTAGTGGGGACACGCCCTTCGCTGCACGGTGTCATCAGGGGCACTCGTCTCCCCTCGGAGCACAGTCTCCCGTGTGGTCTCATTTTGGACTCCACCAATCCGGATTGGCTACTTGCCACAGATGGGATCCCCACCTTTCATGTGACGCAGGTCGTGACAAGAGGAGTCTGCTCTTGGTCAAACCTGTCTCCCGTTCCGGTCCAACCTTGTGACGACATTGGAGCTTTCCTCAATACTCTTGACACTTTTCCCTCGGTGGTGTTCACGAACTTCCGGCTCTCCTGTTCACATTTGACGATTTTATCTACGTTGGGCACGCATCATGTCTGGTTGTCCGTGCGTCCTCGGAGCATACCGGCTTCCGTTCGACTTCAGCACTTCTCTTTGGACCATACATGCCTCGGTGGCATCACCGGCACTGTCTGTCATCTGTTCTACGTTGGGACTGATTCAGTGGAGATCACAGCTTCAGGCGCTCCTCGTGACATGAGCACCATCCTGTCTTACAGCGCTCCATGCAGTGACCGCACCCCTCTTCCTCCAGCGTTCGAGGGTGTGCTCGCAGTGATCCCTTTGGTGGTGGCTGAGCGATCATCTCCTGTGTATCATGGTCTTGGACTTCTCCCTTCTCGTCCGACACTGGACACATGGGTGGTGACCCCTGCCAAGTATGCTCGCCGAGGTTTCTGGGGCGTACGGCCACTCACATCTCTGGAGATGACTCAGGCGTATGACATTGGTGAGACTCAGGAGCATCCTTTTGGCTCCTCTACGACTCTCCCTCGTGGGTTCACTCCTTTAGCCGCTCTCAGGGCGTGTTACGCTGCGTCCTCTGGTCTTTCTTCGCCAGAGGTCGCGCTTGATTCTAATACGGGGGGGCTTCTTTTTCACCTGATGCTGCACTTGAAACCAAGTGGGACAAGTCGGGAGGTCCACAAGCAGAGCAGTTACCGGAGGACGACGCCACCACTGGAACTTACCTCACGGACGATGAGTTGTCCATGTACACTGTGTTATCCTATGGTGACGATTTATCTTATGACTCTGATGACGAGTTCGACCCCACCAAGCTCTCCAGCTTGGACCAGTCGTCTATGGTCCCTGAAGCTGTGCTTTCGTGTGAGAGACGCTCGGGAACACAAAGCGGTCAAGAGCGATTCAGCGGCCGTTCCGGAACATCTCTGGATTCAGCATTGCCTAGCTGACGGGCCTTCACACTGGAGCAACGGTCCCAGAGAGGCGCAAGCAGTTGCCATCATCCTCAATTTCTTGCAACCGAGAGCTCTTCGATGGTGGAAGCGCCATCTTACTCGGGATTTCGGCAACTGGTTCCGAGAGCAACACAACACTCCCAAGTCAACAGCCAAAGGGATCTGCTCCACGGCGGTGAGGAAATCTTCTCGAACCATCAAGGACCCAACGGGTGCCAAACTTCCTGACGGTTCCAACCGTCTGATCCAACAAGCCCGTCAGGTGGCTGTGTACTGATGGAGCAATAAGGGACGCAAGGCATACATCCGGTGGCACTCTTCAGTTTACAGCAGCGGAAAACTGGCCACCGAAAGGAGGCTCGATTTGCTGGCAGCACGAGATGCTCTACGGAGGGCTGCACTGTCATCTTGGTGGGAATGGACGCATGGCTCTCGACCTTTCTTCTGGCGTTGGCAGGAAGAAGCTCGAGACTTGTTGCACGATGGGATGCTTGTTCACTTCATTCAAGAGGCCCCAAGCTACTGGGATGGCTGTAGACTGTGTTGAGCAGATCTTTGATGGTTCTCAGTCGGACAAGTTCTGGGGAGTAAGGTGCATCCCGGTACTTAGGCAGGCGCTTCCCAGCGTAGATGCATGCCGTGAGTAAGCGATCCTAGAGTTGCTCTGCCAGGGTATGGTTTGGTATATTGTCACGCATGTGTTGTTGGAGGGTCTTAATCTGTTCAAACCAGTTGTGGTCCTCTAAATGTTGGTGTTTGTTGTCGAAATAAGGCCCAATTTGGTGAGCTTTTGTACTGATGATGTCCCTTGCTTGTTTTCTGACAAAACCTGTGGATCAACCCCAAAGAACAGGTCTGTGTCAACGTCGATGTAGACTCCTCTGTGATCACTAATGACATGAGCGTGGAAGGCTTCATAACCACATCGAACAATTGTTGGGAGCAGTTCTTGATCGATCAAGATGTAGTCCAGAATGTTCTTGCCATGGTTGTAAGTTGAGAAGTCTGCTGCTCCAGGTGTTGTCAGAATGGGATCAATGAGATTGCACTCTGAGCATAGATGATCCAAGCCACGCTTTTCCTCTCCTAGGTCCGTGTTGAAGTCCCCTGCTACCATGACCAGATGCCCTTTTGACTGAAGGTCTTGGACGAAGCTAACCAAATCATTTGCGTGATGTTTGCGTAGATTGTGGGGTTCTGGTCTTCCCTCCTTGGTGTAAAGGCCGAAGAGTTCAGTCGAATATGTTGTTGGCCCACTTGTGTATGGATCAGTTTTGACCACTTGGTAGGTTGTGATGACTGTTCTGGGAGACTCTCCTTTGCACCTATATCTCGTGTACACCCACCTTCCGAATTCGTCCTTGCCTTGGTCTATAATTCGCCCCTGATGATGACATGTTGTAAGTTGCAAGATTCCACCAGGTTCATCTAAGAAGCGCATTTTTAGGTAGCGCGTGTTTGGCATATAAAATCGTGACGTCGCTGGTTAAAGCTTTGGTAGTAATTCAGCAGTTTCGGAAGGTGAGGTCATCCAACCGGATCCGACGATCTCCTGATTTGTAAGGTAGCATGCATGATAACATACAGCCACGACCTTGCCAACCCAGTCATGCCCTTTCGGTTACTTAGGTATGCGTATGTATTTAGGAGGAAAACTACATACAGAATGCAGCAGGACGAGTTTACGGATTGCTAAGTACAATCTCATTTTATAAGATCGAGCCACTCCAGAGCCCAGAAACTGTCAATTGGAACCTCAGAAGCCACATTTTTGACGGTGTCTAGTACGTTCTATATGCTAAAAAGTAACGTCTGCAAGCTACCAGTTGATTTGTACCTATCTACAAATGGTTTGGTATCGTTGTGAGTACTGTGATGATTGGTTTAAGAACCAGAGAGCTCTATCAAGTCACATACAAGCCTATCAACCTTGTATTGAGGCATAGAACAGAGTGCTGGGCATTGACACTGGACTAACAGAAGGAGTAGATCCAGGGCAAGGGCTGCAGATCTAGGTACTACTGACACTGGGAGGCCCGCAAGGGCACCAACACCAACAACACAGGAAGAGGAAGAATCCAGTCAGGACATTCCACAAGAGATGCAAGAGGAAGATGATCCAATGGAATGGGAACCCCGTGAATGTTGATCGTACTGGTTCTAAGAGATGAGGATGAGGACGACGAAGATGAGATGACGACGAGGATAATAGAAAACAGGCAGCGGATGCAAAATTGGCAACCAAAGTGACGTATTAGGGAAGGCAGAGAAGAGGTAGATGCGAGGACGAGGATCAGGAAGCACAGACAGATGGATCGGATGAAACTGACATGATGAGGAATCCAGTAGTGAAGGATCCGTGGCCACAATCATAAAAAACGACAACCAGGACAAGCAAACAAGGATCTCTTCTT